ACTTTTTTGATCTTTTCGCACAAGTTGGGGAACGATAACTACATGCGGCAAGCGGCAGATGGTATAGTGTGTAAGCGCATTGCTTCAGGGAAGTTACATGTTGGAATCCTTGACTCTTGTAATTTTTTTGCTTTCTTTCAAAACACTTCATATGAGTCCCCAACACTTCTGTTTGGCCAATTTACCTGGTTCTTTAATTATTTGACAATAGAAGGCGGCCAATTCTCCATTTCTGCTTTCTTTTGAAAACTTTTATTACTTAAGATAATAAAGTTCTGCTTTAAAAGCACATGTGTTATTCTTCCACGAAATGATGAAAACAAAACAAGATTTCACGATGGACTCTGCGAACAAAGAAGTACTCCCATAGGCCTAACTACTCAAACAATTTTTCAATACATCCACGGGACTCTATTCACCGTCTTCTTACTGTAGTCTATTTTCCATTCTGCTCATATAGATTCGAAAACTTCTTAGGCTGCGTTTATACTTGCGGCAGCGTAGCGTAGCGTAGCGCAGCGTAGCGTAGCGCTTCCAGCGTACGCCAGCGGCAGTGCCGAAGAGAGGATGCATATCGATCTAGCTTCACCAGCGTCACCAGCGGCACGCTGGCGTACGCTAGCGGCACGCTAGCGTACGCCAGCGTTTCTCCAGCGTTTCACCAGCGTTTTGCTAGCGCTTGCAGCGGCAGGGGAGTAGAGACTATGGGAGAGCTGGAGGGTACAAAACTCATCGATTGCGCGTCTCCCACTCGCCCTTAGTCTCTACAATGGCACATCGCTTCTCTGGCGTCCCCGCGCCCGCATAGTTCTCTACGCATGTCCACATTGCTTCGTGCAGTCTCCGACAGCCCATGTCTGTCTACAATGCCACATTCGGATTTCTTGCGTCTTCGACGGCCATATGGTCTCTACAATACACGTCGATTCCGCTTCTCTCACGGCCACATAGTCTCTACTCCCCTGCCGCTGCAAGCGCTAGCAAAACGCTGGTGAAACGCTGGAGAAACGCTGGCGTACGCTAGCGTACGCCAGCGTGCCGCTGGTGACGCTGGTGAAGCTAGATCGATATGCATCCTCTCTTCGGCACTGCCGCTGGCGTACGCTGGAAGCGCTACGCTACGCTGCGCTACGCTACGCTACGCTGCCGCAAAGTATAAACGCAGCCTTATTCATATTCTTGGTATTGGTTGGATACTTTGGAGCCAACCTGGTGCATTCGAAGCACCTTTTCGGTATTGCTTTCCCTCTGGACTGGTGGAGAACTCTAACTGTACCGTGCATGAAGTACTTTTTTATTCGCTGTACTCATTGCGGATATCTGCATGATAAAAGTTTTCAAAAGCAACCAAATATGGAGAATTGGCCGCCTCCTATTGTCAAATAAGTAAAGAAACTAGATAAATTGGCCAAACAGAAGTGTTTTGGGGACTCATATGAAGTGTTTTGAACAAAAGCATAAGTTTCCAAGAGTCAAGAATTCCAACATGTGAGTCGTGTGTCTGAAGCAGTGGGCTCATCCCCTACACCACCAGCCGCTTGCCGTTACCAGTTATCTTTCCGAACTTGCGCGAACAGAGCAGAGAATAAATGGTCTGTAACTCCCTTTAGAGAATCGTTCCGCAAATTACGAGGGAAGATTTGGATTCAGCGGCTCAAGACACGTCCATATAAATACATCACATTGCAAATGGCCGGATCGACCTGTTGGAGTTCACTTGTGAGAGTACCCTGCCCCTGTCTTTCAACTTTGATCATTTTCAGGACGCACATAATTGTATCATCGAGTTGAACGATGACTGGAGTATGTTTGCTGTTTATGATGGTCACGGCGGCGACGAAGTGTCTAAATATACAGCTATGAAGTTTCCTGATTTTCTAAAAGAGAGGTATTAAGTTCTTATCTATATTCTCTCGAACTTGAATTTACAGCAGTTTTCTGTTGTTTCGAGGGCGACCTTTAGATTACGTTATGCATGCCGAAAAAACATATCTTCACAAGTTTTTTAGTAGCAAGGTAGAATGAGTCCTATCCTGTCAGTTAGGTCATTTCTCAGTAAAATTGCCGAAAACGAAGTAGTTGTGAGAATTGCGCAATGCGATCGATACGCATGCCATCATTTTCCTAAATTCTTCAACGGGTCCAGTGCTTTTCGGGTGTTCTTTGATTCTCAGAATTCCCAGTTATCCATTTTTTTTTCCGAAATGGCCTGTTAAGTATTCAGTTTCCTTCCACTCTCATTTTCTCAGTAGGTTCGAATCCCCTTGGGGACAGAGTTCCGCATTTTTGCACTTTTTATGTTTTTTTTTCTGTTCATATAAGTCGGAACCTTTTGTCCGACCAAAAAGGTGTCCGTAACGCTAGGATCTTCTGTCCAAAAAAGACGAGTTTCTTCAACTGCGCTGTATATGAATCGGGGAGTCTGAGGCCATCAGGGTCAAGAAAAGGAAGAGAATTTATCGAAAAAGCATGGAATTTCTTAGCTGGCACCATTTTTGAAGGAGACGTTTGAGTCTCTGTAAGGCAGTAGGCTTTGAATTCGCGGAAATGTTTTTTTTTGCCCATGCGGTTATGACAGCCACATGTTTTTCTCTTTGCAGTTTCTCTATTTTTAACACCCCTCGCTTCTGTTTTATGTGAGTTTTTTTTTCCAGAGAGTTTTGGGCAAGCGATGATCTTGTACCCACATTACAACAAATATTTGTCGATTTTGACGATGTTTTGCGATCAGATGATGTTATGAAGGAACTGAAGGTATGTATTTTCGCCAGAGTTCCTTGCTTTTATTCTGTTTTTTTTTTGCAAATCTTTGAATTTTAGAAAATGGCGAAAGAAAGTGAAGACGTTCCTGATAGAGACGATGATTGCGATAATAGCTCAGATGAATGTGACAGAATACAAACCATTGAAGAAAGTGCCATGCCATTAGAGGAGATTTTGTCTAGGTGAGCTTGGATTTTATTGGCCACGGTCATAGCGAACCTTGGCGGTAGGATTCAAAATCGAACCTATTCTGCGTGATGCCACATTGAGGTCGGCAGTTAGGACCAGGTAACTTACCACATTTGTCCACTGCGCATTGCAGCCTCCTTTTCTGGCCCTAGGTTGTGATTAGGGTAGCACTACTTTGCTACCCTAAACATTGCACATAGCACTATTTTATCGCTATTTACTCACTAACATTGTGTTTACATTTAGTTTCACGAGAAAATTCAGCAAATTCATGTGATTTTTCCTCGTGCTGTTGTGTCTCCTTATTCTTGTTCCCCCTTGTGCTTTGAAATTGTGATAGTGGGAACGGTGTGCGTGTGCTACTTGGCTATCTGTCCTTGGGAACGGTGTGCGTGTGCTACTTGGCTGTCTGTCCTTACTCACTAAAGGCACAGCATTACTGATTAAACATAATGCAGCTACTGCTCAAGCGTGGTGCACTTTCCAAGTTCTCAGAGCTCTTTGGAAAACTGCAAAATCGCACGGGACGAGGTTTGAAAGAAGTGATGCTAAATGTCGTCTCCATACTCACTACTACCTTCGAGGAGCAGCCATTGCCTCGCCAAGGTTCCGCAGCGAAGCACGTACTCGGAGCTAGAAGTAGGAAGGCGCAGGCAAGTAGCGCTTTTAGCTACGATCAGGCATACACTCGAAATCCCTGAGGTGAGGTAGGCGTGGCTGCTTACTTCAACTAGCGTGGTGGCTATGCTTTTGTAGAGATATTTTCATTTTGACCCAAATGTGGTCACGTCTCTGTCCAACAAAGAATTGTCTCAAATTGAAAGATCCGCGGTAAGCAGTTCTGTGTCATGTTCGGATGCCACGTCTACCCCATCTCAGGGATAAGGAGTATATGTGGACGCGCGGCAGAGCGAGGTAGAATATGAAGTCGGCAACGGGGTTCCACTACCCTTCAGCCCCGTTCGCGCGCAGTCATAAGCAGAGCAAGTGGTGTGCTACTACTGCTGCAGCCCCAATCTCCCCAAAAACCACAAGGATCCACGGTGTTTGTCTTTGTCTGTGGCTCAGACACCTTTATCATAATCCTGAACTGGTGTTTTGTGGCAAATCGGGAAAATCCTTCGAGAAGTAGGATAAAACTTTATAATGTTCTAGGATTCTCTTCTACTTTTCACGGTTTTATGGCTTACTAGGTGTGCGGGGATAGACACTGGTAGTACTAGTTCCTGGCAGCTTACCTGTTTAGCATTAGTGGGATCTGTAGACTTTTGTCCGGTGTGAACAAAGATCGAGCTGTGGCATAGATCTACAAGATTTTACAGATTCTCATGGGAAGCGCGTAATTGGTGGGAACCAGCAAAAGGTCTCACCAAGCCAAACTGCGCAATTCTGTAGCTTCCTTTGTGGCTTTTGTTGAATGTTTTGCTTTGCCTAGAATCGTAAGCGAAGTGTCCAGCTTCACTCTTCATAAAACCTCGGCATTATAGTGAACTTTTAAGTTGTAATTTGTTCTGCCAAAGAGGTTGGTAGGTGGAAGACTTTATTATAAATGGCCTGACGTTTCGACAGGATCGTCGTCCTCAGAGGCCTAAACATAGCTCAAGGTTTGGATGTTGTATCCACTAGACCGCCAAACGCCTCGACACCCTAGCGTTTTTGGCGAAATCTTAAGGAGAACTACCAAGATTTCGCCAAGAAACGCTAGAGTGTCGAGGCGTTTGGCGGTCTAGTGGATACAACATCCAAACCTTGAGCTATGTTTAGGCCTCTGAGGACGACGATCCTGTCGAAACGTCAGGCCATTTATAATAAAGTCTTCCACCTACCAACCTCTTTGGCAGAACAAATTACAACGTAAGCGAAGTGTTCGATCATAGCTTTATTCGTTTCCCAGTTCCGCGGTTATTCATTCCGATCGAATGTTGCCAGACCCGTGAGAGCTTCTTTCTTTCCTTGCCGTTCTATAATTCTTTGCTTCTTCCTGCTTCTTAGCGTCAACCTAAGTCTGCGCTACGTATTTTATACCTTTCAAGGATGTTTTTTTCAGGTTCTATAGGCAGGGATATGTTATAGGACGGAATCTTTCAAAGGGCAAACCTTCAGCCGAGGTGAATGGGGTAATCTTATTTTTCGAATAGTAATTGCTTAATTAGTTCTACGTCTTTGACTAAGTCTCGTCCCATTAAGGCTGTGAAATCATTTGCAGAAAATCTGCTGTAACAATGAAGAGCAGGAGTGCGGTGAAGATAAATGTCCGAAAGGTAAACGACAAAGCCGATCACCGACACAAGAGCCGGCTAAACGTGCCAAAACCGAGGGAAACGGTCAGTTATTCAATCCAGCTTTTCTTCCTGGGTCATTTCTTCTACGATAAAGTGAACTTAGTGGCATAAATAGCTTCCCTTTAGGAAAATGAGAAGAATGCCGTTTGCATGTAAAGTTGAAAGATAAATAGGTGGGAGGGTTCCCGAAACCATCATGCCCTTCTAGTTGACCTACTCCCGTTGCGTGAAAAGGGTGGGCGCTTTAGGGAAGACGGCGCATTGGTTATGGGTCTCCGCCTATCCTCCAATCGCTGAATGTCTGCTCAAAGGCAGCTGGTACGATAAATCGAATAGGATTAGTACGCCTGGCTGGACGGAATTCCACAACCTGAGCAGGCGTCGCGTAGCGCCCTTTACAAGCAATGTCCCATTATAAGGCCCTATCAGGCCGCAACATACCGACCCAAACGCCCACCGCGCCCGCCCGCCCAAATGGACGACCGTATGATGCTCGTATTGCTTCATTTGCGAAGTAAAATATGAAGCGAAGGGATTGATATGAAGCGGCCGCGGTGCTGCATGGATATATGAGTACATACGTGCAGCCGTACCTACCGTAGCGGTTATTGGCAAGATGCCTACGGGAAACTCGTCCGAAACTGCTCCCTGAGTGTTAATGACGAAGGCTTTTCTTCGCTGGTTTTTGACCGTTTCACTACGTTTTTTCGCAATGCTCCCGCTACAGCGCCCTGCTAGCGCTCAGGGCGAGCAGCAAATTATCGTGCCAGTTGCCTTTGAATGACCCTGTCGTACTTCTCCGTGCAGACATCTCAAAGGCACGGTCTGCAAAGAGGAGCGTCGGTAATGGTGTCAAAATTATGAAGAGAAGTCAAAGGACTGGTGTTTGAAGAGAAGAATGCAATGGAGAACTTCGATTAGAACTGAAAGAACCCCTTCGCCTCCAAAAACTGCATGACTACAAGGAGAAAGACCGCGCGTATGGGGACGAATTCAGGCAGCTGGACCCTTACTATGAGCGTACGAACCTACAAGAGGTAATGAAGCTTCCATTTCACTCCATTGTCCGGTGGCATCGTTTTTCCCTGCAAGGCAGACTTCGAAAACGTAGTCTGGGGCGGAGTCACTGGGAAAAGAGAGGTGTCGGGGTAGCTCCGTGAAATTTTTTGCTGTCGGAAAATCCGCTCATGGCTTGTCTCTGTTTGAGGTTGACTCTGTGGTTATGAAGTCGAATCTTATTCGACGTATCAAAAATGTACCAGCTTTTTCTGGAACTTGTGAAGATAATCTCCTTAGGAAGTGTATTGAGCATGCTGATCAATACAGATGGCGAAGGGGACACTGTCAGCACGGAAGTGAATGCCAGCGAGAGTGCAGATTCGGTCGCTGCTATGAAGGAGGCACCCACCGATCCATCGGTCATTAGGTTCGAAATGTTGATTATTTTGAAACAGGTCGATAAGAACTTATCGGTTATTTACTGGTTATTTGTTCAGCAGCACGAATAACTCAGCAAACAATGATGATCGTCCGGCTGATGAGCACAAAGAATTGGAGGGTAACGGGCAGACACCACCAATTATCAAGACGAAACAGAAAAAAGTGCCAGTGAATGCCGATAAAAAGGCTGACACCGATGGTATTCGTCGCGTAAGTACTTTTGTTCATTTATGTTTTTCATGTTTTATCCGCTCATCCCAGTCTGGTGAATACTTAGCTTTTTGCCTAATTTTCAAAGCGCTGGCTAGATTTCCCATCAGAAGTTGTCTTTGGGGGTAAGTCTGGCCAAAAATTTGGGGAAGCTTATGCACGTCTCACCTTGTATGTATACTAGCGCTTCTCTAGACATGGTAGTCCTGCCCCACAGCATGGGGGATGTGCTACTTCCGTACTATTTGAAATGCGACATGAAAGCGCGACCCGCTCGCGACGGAGACTACGTCCACCTTGCGGCGCCGCTCCGCCCCAACTTTCATTTTTACTGCGAAGTGATTGGTGCAGGTCGCATCCACATCTAACTCACATGCATTTGAATGACAAGTAGCTGAAGCTGATAAAGCGAAAGGGTCTGTGACAAAAGCGAAAAACTCGTCCAACACGAATCGCCCAATTCTTCGCCCTATGGTGAACGTATACATACCGCCCGTTAGAGATGGGGTTCTATATAGGGCAATCCCAGCGGGGTATTCTGCTCCCTTCTTCACTTTTTTACCATCTTGTCATTAGTATGTGAGTCTCACAGAATCACCGTTTTTTGAGCCGCAACCGCGGGCGGGCAATCTTCGGTAGTAACCCTTGATCCAGAAATTACGAATATGACATTTGTTTTGCGCGACAAGCGCTGCAAATGTACTGCGCTATCGTAAACGCAAAAGATGGTAACAGGTGTGTGCCGAGCTCCACGGCGTTTTCGATCCGAACGGCATATTTGTTTATGGGACATACTCAAGCAGTACGGGAACGGAAAGCTAATCTAACTCCGGGGATGAATTTCGAGAACTATCGGTCTCAACTTTCAAGTGTAGACAGTAGGTAGTAAGAAGTTCTTCCAGCGATTGGCTTTTTCCCCCTAAGGTTTTTCCTCCTACGCCGCTTCTGTATTTTGAAGATTTTGCATAGCTAAGCTGAAAACGTATCAGTTGAAATGAAAACCCGGAAATGGGTCAGTTTTGATGGATGATTTTGTTAAAATTTTCGCGTAGAGGTTCACTTCAAGGCAATCCAATTACGACAGTTTCCGAAATTTACACAAAAGGCTCAAAGAACAAGTGGTAGACAGTAGTAGAGCGTAATATTTATGGTTTTCTTCTAGCTCATTCCCGGCGCTGTTTGCCGCAACGGGTGCGGGGCGCATTTCTGTACTTTAACGACTTTCCCATCGACGTGTCGACCCATCTAGACAGCCTCTTCTCGAGTTGACAGGTTTTACCATGATGGCTTGACGAGCTTGCTCCAGCTTCACAAGAGTTCACAGGTTTCACCAGAGTGAGACTTGTAAACCAGAACTAGTGAAGCAACGAAAGTGCAAAATGCCCCCCCCCCCCCTCACCCCGTCACAAACTGGGCCCCTATATTTACTTTCGTATACCCTGGTTTTTCTGAGCATGTACAGAGGGTTCACGAAGAGTTGTGTTCACTCAGTCGGAAAAACCTAGACTATTTTCAGCAACTTCACCCAGTGCCGTCGTCTATTTATAGGCGGCGCTGGAATTTAATGTTGATACACTGTTTATTTTTATGATTAACATCGTCCATGAGACGCCGCTTGTTTACACCACGCGGCTCCGAGGGGCAGGAATAGGATGTTTATTTTCTCGCTGACTCAGTAAGGAATAATAGGTGGATAAACTGGTGATTCTTTAAGTGCAGAAACTTTTGGGTAGGAAATCTTTTCCACACCTTTTTGATACACCTCAGCAGAAAGTTCTGTCGAGTGGTTTTCGTTGGTCATTCATATTAATAGTGAGTTTTCATTTCTCTTTATTTTTATAAAGACTGGCATCGCTCGCAGCTAGAATATGTTCAAGTGGCCCTCTAATTGGACATGGTCTCTGTTGCAAGACTGTAAAATAATGTTTTTAGGGATGATGATGAATCTGAAGATGACTCCGACTTCAACGAAGCCGAAGAAGAGGCGGAAGATGAGGAATGTGACGATGAAGAAGAGAATGAGTCCGATGATGATACTGATGTAAGTTTGATACTTTCCCTACAGAAGTTTCCTTCTCGGTTATTTGTTTTGAAGTTTTCTCTCTGTGAGCTGGGCTTTCACAGGGCACATCATCGTAGAATACAACAGATCGGGTGTGTTTAGCCGCTGTGGGGGTGGGGTGGGGTAGGGAAGGTCATTGAGGAAAATCTTTTGATTGTTGATTGTTCCTGTTTCTGCCTCAGTATACGCTCAATTCCCACCCCCCCCACCTCCCTGTGGACAGCAGCATTTTTTGGGAAAACTTGGGAGAAGGGTGTATAGGTTGTGAAAGGGGGTAAGGGGGTCGTAGCAAGGAGAAAGCCTGTGGGGGATCGCATTTAGCAAAAAAATCTTCATAACGCAATGAGGTGTCCTTACGCACAGCTTAGAAACACAGTCCGCTTCTTGATGTATTGCATCCTTCTTTTGCACAAGGCAGTCTGCTCCACAGTCGTACAGCATACCACCCAGTGAGAGCGCAAGAGGTCCTCCACCACAGTCGGGCCCCGCCCACCGAGGTCACCCTCCTCTCTCTTCATCTGTATCGAAACCTTGTGAGGCGTAGCGGTTTCGTTGCTTTGTGTACGCCCTTGTAATTACGTCGCCTGCTTCTCTTTTCTTTGTGCTGTGTGTTTTTGCACGATTTTCATTTAGAGAATACTAGAGTTCCTATAGCGTTTCTCTTTTCTTCCTTTTTTAGTAACCCAATTCTTGATCCTCAGAACCGAGGACTTTCAATCGAACCTGTGCCTTTAATTCTTTGATATCTACGTGTATTGAATTTTCCCGAGCTTATCTGTAGTATTTCAGGAGGTAGCAATACCTGGAGGATTAGAAACACCTGGAGAAGACTCAGGGACGACGGCGTGCGTCTGCCTTATGAATAAAGAAAGGGTATGATTCATAATCAGTACTTTTGCTAGCAATTAGATATTTTTATCTGATCGATCGTCTTATAATAGATAAGAGCTTTTGATACGCCATTTATGGATTTTATTTGTTGAATTGTAGATCGTAGTAGCAAATGCTGGGGACTCTCGAGCGGTGCTCTGTCGAGGCGGTACAGCCATCGATTTGTCTATGGACCACAAACCAGAAGACGATGTAGAGAAGACGCGCATAGTAAACGCGGGTGGATTTGTTAATGAAGATGGGAGGTTTGTTCTGAATGATTTTCTTTTCGATTCTTTTTTTGACGGAGGTTCATGTGTGGGGCCGCGTTCTGACGACGTTGCAGAAACGACGAAATTGCAGACAGGGAAAGGAATAAGTATTGATATGAAAAGCCGATAGGGATTGATGATTGGGATTAATGCAGAAGTGCAGATCTGCAGAAATGCCGAAATTTCTGCATTTCGGCACTTCTGCAGATTCTGCACTCCCGATGGCGATCGATCCCTGTCAGGTCGCTGTCCGTCGTTTCGTCATTTCTGCACATTCTGCACTTCTGCATTTCTCCCAATTCCGCGGTTTTTGGAATCGATAGACATACTTTCTTTCTTCTGCAAGTTCCGCGGTTCTCCCAATTTCGTAGATCCGAAAATTCCGCAGTTCTGCACATTCCGCGGTTCGGCATTTCTGCATCATGTATGAACGCGCCTAACTGGGGAGAGTGGTGTTATCACGGGTTTGTGAACTGGTGCCTCATAAGGACGGTCCCGCGGCACTAACTTTTTTTTACAACCTACTTGCCATCTTACCAAACTTCAACAGAACCTTGCCCTTGAGGGATGAGCAGATTCTTTCATCAACTGTCAGGTGTAGAAGTTCCCAGGGCACTTCATAGGTTGAGAATTTTGGTCCACAGGACGACCCCCTCCCCCTTTTTTTTGGGGGGGGGGGATTGGTGCAACCCTCCTCTGACCCTCTGCCCTCCTCAGCGAGCTGTCCAGCGGGGGGGGGGGAAGCCGCGAAAAGCTACAACACCCCCCCTCTATGAATTTTCTCAGATTTTCCCCAACTTACTACCAGTTTTTTTGGAATTTCCCGAAAACTTCCCTTTTTTCCCCAAAAATTTTGCTGTCGATCGGGGGAGGGGGGAAGGGGTAATAATACACATGAAACAGGAAAATCACGCAAAGTTATCCAACTTTTCCAGAAGAGACGACCCTCCCCTTTACAACGTCCGTGAAGCGAGAAAAATCAACTATCAAAATAAATTTTTCTCAGCCCAAATACGACCCCCCTCTCCTGGCGACCAAATACGACCCCCCCCCTTGTTGGGGATTTCCCAACAACGATGTGCCCTAGAAGATTCACCGTAGAGCTAAGTCAAAAGGGAGTGGAGGATATAGCATGCGTAAAACGGGTAAAATCAACAATGGAAGTTTTTTTTCGGCCAAATGCGCTCCCCAGATGAGAGTAGCGCAATGGAGGACCGTATTGGCTATTAGAACGTGTTTTTTTTTCAGAGAACCAAAGTGAAAGTGATTTTCTTTCTTAATAACACAAATCTTTAATTTCAGAGTGAACGGTGGTTTAAATTTATCACGTGCTTTTGGTGATCATAGTTATAAGAAGAATGCAGATTTGCCATTACGGGATCAAATGATTACGTGAGTCAACTCTGATAGTTCTCCGATTTACAATTTAGTTGAAGGCCCATTTCGCGATCAACCGTGTGCAATTGTCCGTTCCACAAGTACAGAAGCCGGTCTGAATACGTAGAGAGTACCTGTTTGCGGCTCAGAACCGACATGCAAAAGTTCCAAAGGCTGATGTGCTCGAGTAACTCCACCCTTAACGAGAGACTTCACCCTAAAATTGGCAGATTGGCGCTTTCTTCATCTCTTTAGTCTCTTTGCCGTCTAGCCTCTCCACCGTACCCTGATTTTCGCAGGCTCGTACTACAGGGGGGGCCAAAAAAAGTCATTTTGCCTCCATGACTTTCAAGGCGCTATAAGTTACACTTTATTAAATTTTTATCGGACATTTTTACCATATTAAAGAGCACATTAAATACTATAATGATACTCCGCCACAGCCTTCTGGAGGAGCGCCATCGAGAGATTCGAAAGTGAGTGGGTACCGGAGTTGAGCGAGATCGTTGATTTCTCCGCCACTGTAGACCACCCTGTTGAGCTCCGCCCGAACTAGGTAATTGAGTGGGTTCAGGTCAGGGGACATATTTCAATATTACATCTTCATCAGGTACGAAACGCCCTTCCATTCGAAGTAGGCGGGAGTTTTTCCAAAACCCTTCGATTCCATGTGGTGGCACCCAAACCTGTAGCAGCACAAGGTCTCCAAGAAGGTACGGGCGACCACATGTAGGGAGGATATCCTTCTCGAGTTACTTGATGTAACCGCCGAGCCGCTGCACGCTTCAGTCGGGTCTACACAAGAAAATATCGTGCCTTCCATTCATGATAGCGGCCGGTCCACACGCATCAACGGAGTCCCGCTTGGTGAATAAGGGGGGGGGGGGGGGGGGGGGGGGGAGGGGTGAAGATGATGTCCTGTACCGTAGCGACGTTGCCGGAGCTGCTCGATGTTTGAGGTCTTGCAGATCAAGAGTACTGGTCTCCAGGTAGCTATCCATGGGTGATTCCATTCAAGAAGTTCCGCAGCTGTTTGGAGGCCACGTGAATTCCAAAGGCGTTCTCCACTTCAGGCCGCGACTGGAGATGACTTCATATTTTGGTACATGAAGGTGAATGGCGGCAGCCGGCTCCTGCTTATAGAGGAAGATCTTGGGTATCTTCCGCCCTGGTACTCATATCCACTTCCTCTGTCTGGGCTGCGAAAACTTCGCTCATATGTGACTCGGCCGGAATGACTTTTTTTTTTGGCCCCCCCTGTATTCATTCAATTCAGCTGTCAAGGGATGGGGCTGATTTAATGACAATTTTTTCTCGGCTTTTCTCGAAGGCGCAATCTGCGTGATTAGCTGTCGAAAACTGTATCGTAGAGCGTTGAGGAAGCATGAGTGCAGAACCTTTATCCCTTGTGCCGCGAGAGATCAGACAGGTGTGAGGTACAAGGTACGAGGCGGCATATACGAGGGAAAAGCTGAGGGCGGAGCTTCTTGAGCAACCTTCGCCTTAGCGCGCTTACCCTACAACTTTCTGACGCGAAGCATGTACAAGGTTGCCCATCGTAGTCCACGCGGAGCTTCAATTCTTATGAGTGATCGCGGAATGTGCCTTTAATGCTACCAACATTTTCAACATGGAACCACAAAGTGTGCCTTGAAGTAATTGTTTTCCATTTGCAGAGCATTGCCAGATGTTAAAGTAGAGACGTTACAACCGAGCGATGAATTTCTTGTTGTAGCTTGTGATGGTATTTGGTGAGTTGTATTTTCATCAGTACTTTTTCTGAGGTGCCATTAACCATTTCTTTTCTGCATGAAGTCAAACTGGGCACATAATTCATTCCGATAATGATGCAGTTACGTTACTTTCCTCTTGCAGTACACCCGCCCCCATTTCATCCAACTCACCATCTTCCTAATCTCTCAACCCCCTACCGATCTTCCCAATTTTCTGTGGGGGAAGGGGAGGGCGTCACCAACGAGCCTCTTTCGTACCGCTCTGATCGCGTTAATGCCTCACCCCTCGAACGATAATGTTGCGCGAATACTACTGACTGGATTCTGCCGCTACTGTGGGATCGCCCCAGATTCTGATTGGGTTCTATTCAGCTGTGATTACATTAGTTACTGCAGCAGTCCAACGATTAGCGCTAGGGCGAGTCAGTTGCAATCGCGCACTTGCCGAATCGTGTGACTATACAGCTCAAGTCGCGAACTATGAACGTACCTCAGGCAGGGCCAGAACTAGGAAAATACGGCGATTGTGGATTAGTGAGATTGGAATCACCTGAAAACCTATCCTTTGCCTCGTACGTAGCCTCTTTACAAACACCTGTTGCAGGAATTCACTCAACTCCCAGCAAGTTGTTGATTTTATCCGAGAACGACTAAAGCGAGGGAAATCTTGTGTGGATATTTCTTCAGAGGTCAGCTATGTTTCGGAACTATTTGTTATCAGGTTTTAAGTTGTTTGATATGAAGTATCATAACTGTTCAGTACCACACCCTTAAGCGGTGTCCAAACTTCGCGATGACGCGCGTCGACGCGCTACAATTGCAAAAGCCTCCGAAGCTATAGACGCGACGCTGTCGCAGGCGGGGCCATTTTTGTTTTGAGAGAGAGTATGCAGGAGTAAGGGCACCTGACTATGTGAAGGCGGCACTTTCCTTCCTGTTGTCTTATACTCTCTCAAAACGTAATGCTGCTTCCATACTTCATGTCCACTAGCGACCAGGGGTAGAAAGTATGGGGAATTAGGAGGGTAGCAGACTGTTGGGAGAGTACGGGGAAATGGTAGGGAGCAAACAGCTAGGTTAAGCGTCGTGGAATTGCGGCGTGTGCAACTCCATCGTCCAACTGCTAAAGCATAGAATTATGCAATTTCATGTGCACGCCGCAATTTCATGCCTAATCCGCCTGTCTGCTCTCTCCTACTTCCCCGTGCTCTACCAGCAGTCTGCTGCCCTCCTACTTCCCATACTCGCTACTCGTGGACACTGGTGGACGCTAGTAGACATTGCCGTGCGCTAGGTCGATCTCTATACTTTCCTGATCGCTGACGCTGACAGGACGCTCGGAATGCTGGTGTTCGCTAGTGGACGTTGCTGCAAATTATGAACGCAGCCTAAGCGGCCAACGCCGATCGATTCCCGTCTGCGGCTGATTCCGCGTCTGAAGCATTGGGGCGCCCTTGCCAGTGATAGCGTGTCGACCCGCGTTACAGCGCGTTACAGCGTTCAGCTTCTCCGTCACGCCACGTCATCGCGAAGGTCCAAACGCTACCTTTACGCCATTCACTCAAAAATCAACTGCAAGTGGAAATCGAATCCTTACCAACCAAAAAATATGAAATTCAGTCTCTTCCGGAGTGAATTCTAGTTTTTCACTTTGGATTATTCGCTTTGGCGCCGACGACGGCCGGTGATGGCACTGGTTGCGATAATATGACTGTTATTATCACGACGATTACTCACTGAAAGTATCTCCATTTTGAGTTCATTTCTCAGCTCGTTCCCCATCCCCTCGTTTATCTCGGTTCACCCGTTCTTTTTCGCACATATGATGTCTCTCTCATTTGCCTGGTTCTTTGATAGAAAAGGTTATATTTCTGCTTTGTTGTTTCGTTGTTGTGAAATCCGTTGGTAACCGTCTGTAAAAGACGTGTTGCCTTTATCCACACCTTCGGTTGAAGGCCCAAAATTTTCATGAAGACTTTTCCATCAGACACTTCGTTTGTTCATGTTGGGCACTTCCCCGGAAAAAATTGATGGTCGACGTGGGCACGATCAAATGGGTTGTGGCATGGTAAGTCAAACTGAGAAAAAGCCTTAAAGACACCTTTCATGGTTGCCGGGTGGGCGGAGCCAGGAAACGACTTCATTGGTCAATTTCTTCCCCCTTCAGTCAGAGCCATAGAAGGCGGGAAAAGAAAGGTGTGCAAATGGCGTCGCTTCTCTAGCCGCTAGACTGCGCTTCAATGCGGAATTTTTCATGCCACAACGCATTGTCGTGACATTCCACGGTACAATTTTAATTTATGCAAAATTAGGGAATTTTCATTAGGAAAATGACTTGAAGAATGATGGTAAAGCGGAATTTTTCTTTTGTAAAGGTGCTGTAGTACTACAGCATATATTGGCAAGACTGCACTCTGTTTTCTATTGATTTTTGTCATTTTTCGTTTTGAAGTAGCGAGGATTTGTGTCGCGCTAGGCTCTGATTGACTGGATTTAGCAATGATACATTTTCACTGAGAGCCGCAGAATAATCGATATTTGATCGAAAGCGCCACGCAAGAACCGTTCACCCATAAGATTCATGTTTGTGTCGAGTAATTTTCTATTATTCGAGTAATATCAAGTGTTGCTTGAATTGTTAGGAAAGAAATTCTGTTGTGAAAAACAGTCAAATGAAGGTGAAAAATCGGAAAACTGTCTTTGAGTTCAGGACGTTTCAAGCCAGACTAGTAGAAGTATGCGGTTTTCGGGACGATTATGTTTTGTTCTTCATCCGAGACTTAAAGGCAGTGAGCACAACCGCTGTGGGGTGGGCCGTTGTCGCTAACGTCATTGGTGAGGGTTGAGTTCTCGCTGCCCTTCCACCAATGACGCTGGGCGATGACCACCCGCCTACAGCAGTCGTGCCTACTGCCTTCAGTGCATTGATTGCTTGATGACATTGCTCTAGGGCCGAGCCAGTCAGTCCTGTTGGTACACGAGTGTGGATAGCTCAAAAAGTTGCCATTATAAATTCCTGTCAACAAGTCCGGTAGGTGGTGGTTGGAATCGGACTTAAAGGCACAGTTCAGGCTAATGTGGGCGGAGTCGGAGCGGTGTCAAGATTGCCTGATCATTCATCCTTTGCTCTCGCCCTTTCCAAGAAGTCAGGTGGGGCGCGACAATGGGGAAAGCACAGTGTTACGACTGACTCTGCCCATATGGCCAGTGTGGACTGTGGTCTTGACGAAGATGTGGGAGTGTTACACATACTCAGTCTGGTGGGCCGGTGTACCAGCTTGGAGTAACCCTATGATGTTTCTCAGGACTTCCACGTTGCGGCGACGTCCCTAGGAGACTATTTCCTAGCCAGTTAGCTGAACATACTGTTGCACTGTGCAATCAATTAGGTCCAAGTGGCGGCAGATGCTGCGCAAAGTTGATGTGAGAGCATATCGGGAACGCAGAACGAAAGCACAGCTTGGACTACTTGTGATAGTTGATCCATATCGAGGGGTGTCCTAAAATGGCTCGTTGTTGGTCCAGATTTCCCTATTCTCCACCTCTTCTGCTCAAGTGTCGTAACAGTACATTTGTGAAGAGAATTGTTTTTGATGTAAATACGAAGGCGTGCAATAAAAGTTGAAGCAAGAATAGCGCCGTTATGAAAACGGTCGAATTGGGTGATTATGATGAATCTCTTGGCAAACATTATCATCATACACATACGACATTTCAAACGACATTCGACAACGATTTCGTCTCAGGATTGCTCAATACCCGATCTCCGAACGGTGAGTTTTTGTTAGAATTTTGAGAGTTTCTGCTTGAATGAATGAAGTTAATCACAGTTGTCTGATCCCTACCTCGGCCCTGTCAGCGAACCGTACTCGTGAGGAGAAGCACGACTCGTCCAATGGGCGGGTTATACCTGGGCGGATCTTCTCATTCTGTCTGATTCGGTAAGATGTGTGCAGACGAATACAATTAGAACTAATGGGTAAAATGTCCACCAACCAGCAACACTTCTTTCTTAGGCTATTTTCTTCTTCGAGTGATTTCATGCTCTCTTTTGTCTCAGGATGAGCTGTCACGACACGGCGAGACGGGCGAGTTTTTGTCAGCATTGTCGGATTTGCCACCGCGCCAAACCCATCCTTCCTGACACGCCCCTTCATCTGCAGTTAATTAGATATACTAATTGTGATTTTAAGGAGCAAGAGGAAACACAAGATAGTTCCATAGACGCGCTCTTATGAAAAGAGGAGTGGGAAAGGGGACATTCTTCTTCCACGTCCGTGTTGGGTAGTACGCATGAAGAAGTTACAACGAATTAGATAAGGACAAGCAACGAGTTCTCAAGAGAGCTCATTCCAAGAGGCTAGGCTCATTCCTAGATGAAAATCTGGTTAGCAATTCACAGCGGTGCCTGCGGCAAAGAACTCCCTCAGCGCTGTTCCCATCCAATACGTCTAGCCGGTAGGTGACTTCCTCGGTGACTTCAGGGCATTGTGATAGTAGATTCGATAGGTGGGCGTGGTTCGGTCTGGTGGATGCACCAACCTTATTCGGGAAGCTTGTGCAGGCTGACTTGGGGAGACCTGATGAATCCTGGAAGAAAGCGATTTGCTTGCAACATCACTGCTTCACAAGAGTTGTTAGTTAACATGGACTAGCGGAAGTGCAAAATACCCTCTCCCCCTTTGAGCTAAACAGCGCCCTTTGGAGTTCTGAGCGAAGACATAGGTGAATCGATAGAGCTCAACGTGCTGGATGCGTTTATACTTTGCAACACCACTGATCCAGGAATCCCGCGGAATCGCCGGTCGTGCCCCAACGCTAGTCGTTGGACTGCAGTAACAGTCGAACAAAGTCCCATCCAGAATATCTATGGACTAGCCGTGACAGCTTTTCAAGGATTATCGATGTAGTGCGCTCGCGCGACGCCCAAATCGTTCATGTCGTTAAGTATGAACGTGACCAAAGAAAAGCAGAACTGCCACATGTCACTGTCAGAGATATGAGTTCCAGAGTGCTGACGTATAAGCTTACCTGAACACAACAACAATTTTCACGACCTAATTGCTTGTTAGAGGGTATACTATTCGCCTAAAAACCCTTATACTACTCATTGCCAGCTATACGGTTACTTATTCGGGTTGACTTTGTTCATACGCTTCCGTTAACGCAGCTAGATATAAGATGGTTGTGATAGGAAAAGCTGCAGGAATTCTTTGCCAGGAGATGTATCATAACTGTTTAAGCCTCGGGTTTGGTTTACCCGAACGCGTAATTTTCAGAAATTACCTGCATTTTTTTTCTGATTCGCTCTCTCCTCAGAAGAAACTTGCCGCCTGTCAACTAGGTCGATCTACGAATCAGTTCTGAATGGGGCCAATCAGAGAGACCACCACGTGGGGAACGCCGGTGGGCAGGCGCTGGAGGTCGATACCACTGATCTGGTCAAGCTCGGCGAGCCCCCGAGGACCGGACCAGGTGCAAATCAAGGGGGAGTACCCTGCTGGAAACTCGCCTTGAGCCGTCAGTCGCTGTTCGCTCCTCCTTGCGGATGCTCACCATGCTGACGGCCACCCATATCCAGGGCTTGGCTCAGCACTCCCATCAGCAGCCGCTACTCGGGACGATGCAGTTAGGTTTCCGTGAGATTTCAGATCGACCGATCTGAAACTAAAAGAGAGCGCGCGTGCCGGTATGGGATGCGCCTGTATGAGCAGTTTCATAAAAATCGGCAAGAATTGCAACTTGGAGGATTTCTCCACCCACTTTGGAATCGGGATGCGTGACTACCAGCGGCATAAGCTGTGCCTTCGAAGCATACTTGCGAGTATATTTTAGGTTATTTTTCACTACATGAATCTCCCACTCCATCAACCTGAGGAACTTGTGGGCGCTACTGCGAAATCTCCGGCCCAGCTGGGCAGTGGCATGGCAAGAATCCTGTCTCGGCTGTTCACGCGTTGAGGGTTCGGTTCATCTGACTGCAAAAGGTTTTGGAGATCACCTACAATTTTTCGTGGCCCAGTCAGTCTCTATGAGAAACTTTTCCGCGTTCAACTAGGCAGGTGTACGAATCAGTCCTGAATGGGGCAAATCAGGTGGATCACCTAGTGGGATTTGGCCAGTGTGCGGGATGGAATCGCGACATTGATCGGTTGCCAGAACACCGCATCAAGGCCATCAGAGCCCACGAGTACCGCAACAGTACCTGCCAAACGACAGTACGGTGCTGGGAACTCGTATGAATAACTGGCATGACATGCACCCAGCTCAGCTACACGTTGACACGAGTGCAGACCTGGTGCCCTCCTCCGTGAGTGCCAATCCGGAGGGTGCAGCAGTGTGTCCTTGGTGTAGCGCACCGTGGCGGGCTATGCTGCCATTTATTGGAAGAGGGGGAAAGTCCGTCAATAAAATCGATGTAGGTAGCGCTTTGAGCTCCTGAATCGACCGATTCTATACCAGAAGAAAGCCACTGCTGGTACGGAATGCGGCGTGGATATGCATTTTTACGGAAAATTGGCAAAAATGGCAATTCTGGCAAAAAGTCCTCCATGCCCGGTCAAGAACCATAGATATTCGGTTAGCAACGGCCCTGCTTCGCTCTAGGCCATCCACCACTATGGTTATAAAGGCTTCGAAAAGTATGATGGACCTAGCGCGCGGTGTACAACGTGGTGGTGGTCCCTGA